TAAAAAGCCTGCTTCTCCCCGCCCCCTGCCTTCTCCCCTCCTCCTTTTGGAGACCACCCCCTTCCCCCCGCACTCCTGCGCGCGGGCACGTGCGTGCGCACAAGCCCATTTGCCCACCCCGCCTCGGTGAGCGCCTTCGCCGGTGCCCCACTCCCCTCTGACCACGTCCCTCCAAGCTCTTCCAGCCTGGGCTCCTGGACTCCTGAGAATAACTTGCGAACTTGGGTAGGACGAGCGTGGGAGCGGGGAAGAGCCGGTGCTTTTGTGTCCTCTCGTAGTTCTGTTTGGCAGGACTTAGTTTGCGCCCTTCCCATGTGGCAGGCTCTGGGCTAACTGCTGGGGAAACACGGAGGCGCAATCTTACCTTCCGTAGATTTCAGGGCTCACAGCAACTCCTGCCATCCTCGGGGTATCACTCACTGCTTGCACGCTGTTTAGAACAATGACCTTAGTTGAGTGCCTAGGGGTTCAGACGGGCTAGAACAGGCTGGACCAAAACGGCCCCCGTCGGTGACCACTGCAACACAGGAGACCCTGAAGCGCAATTTCTAGACTCTGAGAAACCTATTCCCTTCCTCTCCCCGAACCTCGTCCTCCAGATAATCCTTTGGCGACACGGGCCACCAGCCACAAATCCAGAGGCAAGTGTTGCTGGACACACCCCACCCAGTACAGGGGTGGAAGGATCTGAACAGACCCCCAGGTGTGAGAGAAAGCCTGGGGTACAGCCAATAAAAGCTCTCGCCAATAATGCAGATGACAAGCATGGCTTCCATTGTTCTGTGTGATTTACTGAGTCATCTAGCCCAAAAGCCCCCAGCCCCCATCATTCCAGGCTGGACTCGGCCTTAATTATTTACCCACCTCTCTGGGTGGTGACCACCCTTGTCAGAGAGATTCTTTCTGTGAAAGATGGAGCTTTTAAGCTCTCTGGGTCCAGGTTTAAATTCCCAGTACTTCCGGTGCCACCTTCTCCCACCAGACCTCTGCACCCCATTTTAGGCCTCAGAGTCTGTTTGATTCAATTCAGCAGCTGCTTAACCATGTGACAACCTGGCCTTGAAGATGAATTAGCTCCCTCCAGGAGGGCAAGTTCCTTCTTTTAAGGAATTAAGAGGGTAAGAGTTATGGGGGAACAAAGGAATAATTGGCTGTCAGAGGTTTGGAGGAAGAGAACTATTCGAGTGGATAGGTGAAGGGAGAGTATTTTTCCCAGGTGAGTCAGAATGGAAGCTTAGAAATCTACGGGAGGGGGATAGAGGTAGTAAGGGCACCCACGGCACAGGGACCTGCTGAAGCAAACACAGAAATGGGAGAGTGAAGTAGGGGAGAGGAAAATCCATCTACTTGGGCAGCTTTGGGAAGTCCAGGCAGACTGGCAGGAAATCCAGTTGACTCCTGTGGTGGTTTGCTTTAATGAGTGGCAGGAAGACTGCTGAGCAGAGTGAAATAGAGCTGGACCTCTGGAGCCATGTAAAGTGCAGCTCTTCCAGAAGGCAAAAGGCTCGGGGAGGCCATGTCTTGTACCTGTTGGCCCCACTCCTTGGGATCCTTTAGAGGAGGAACAGGATCTGGCCCCATCACTGCCCAAAGGAAGTCATGCGAACAGCAAGTGCAAGCCACATGTGTGATTTTAAAGTTTTCAGTAGCCGCAATAAAATATAGTAAAAAGAAATAGATGACATCCATTTTAGGAATATATTCTAACTCAGTCGGTCCCAGATATGTATTATCCAGTGAGTAATCAGTATCAGAAATTATTAATAGACTTAACAGTCTCTTCCTTTTTTTGTACTGAATCCTCAAGCTCTGATACATATCTTACACTCAGAGCAAATTTCAATTCGAGCGAGCCAAAACTCAAGTGCTTGGTAACCACACGTGGCTAATAGTTATGAAACTGCAGGGTACACACCTGTATCTAAGACACAGTGCCCGGCACCTTGTAGGCCCGCAAGTATTTGTTCAAGGAATGGAAAGTACTGACTCTAGGAACACTCTTCGCAGGGTCCCTTGTTCTCTTTCTAGCTCCACAGAAATGCCCACAGGTAGATCAGAGGTAGTGATAAATCTGTTGGGAGGCTAAAAGAAGCCTTGACTCATTCATCCCTTCAGGTATTTATCTTTTGAGCTTCATACTTTTTCCACTTCCCTTTAAAATTGTGACCTTTCAGACCAAAATGTGGAGATTAGTAGGCAAGGTCGTGCTGACTTAACAAATATGTATTCAATGGCATTTCCCTTGTTGAGAATGAGACCGTGTCCTTATTCTTTTCTATTAGTTCCCAAGGTAATGACCAGTTTTACCCTTCCCACCCCGAGCACACACATGTACACCCCAGCAATAGCCACATCTCTTTAAATCCTTTTATAACTCCAGTAAGACTCAGAGTCCTGCTCTAGAAAGACCTGTTGCCAAGAGTGTTGAACCTTAGCACATCTTTTGTGAAATAAAAGGCATATCATGAATCCAGGGCCTTGTACTGAACTACATCCCAGCCCTTTTTATTTTTTTATTTTGAGACAAAGTCTCAATAAGCTGCTCAGGCTTGCTTTGGGCTTGAGATACTCCTGCCTCAGCCTCCCAGTTGGCTGGAATTACAGGTGAAAGCTACCAGATCTAGCTTACAAGTGCTTTTTAAATGAAGTCAGATGACCATTATGGAAGAAAGACTTATGTACGTCTCAAGCTGCTGCCCAGGAATGTGACCTTTGTCCTCTACCATTTGACTGCAGGTATCTGGAAGAACGGGACACTTACATTTTGTGTACAAGCTAAAGAGGACCTGTACTTTATGAACATTTTTGCTAAGTATTTACCCTCTTTGTTTTATCCTCTATCAGTCACAGTCATGGTCTCAAGTCAGTTGCGGTTATGGGATGGTTATTTAGCACCTGTTCTTTCTCATCATTCAGTAATTTATGAAAGCTCCCACTTTCCATGCTTTCCTCCAAATACTGACTCAGAGGTCTCTGAGACTCTGTCTCCAGAATTACAGCTCCCAAGGACTCAGATATAGCCCTTTTACCCCTACAATTTCTGCATTTTAATTGATGCACAGTTCAATCGGCTGAGGCCTGGGGAAGTGGGAGGGCTTGGACACTGTTCATTAGTGCAGGTCCAGCACCTACAACAGTTCACAGCACACAGATGTTCACTACATATCTGTTGAGTGAACCCAAGTTCTCTGCTGCTGGCCACTTACTTCAGCCATTGTTCTGGAGCATTCCCTCCTAAATTTCTCATGAGTCCTCTGGAAAGAATATGTCCTTAGGCTTGAAGGCCTGTCTGTGCTGGGCCAGTTGAGAAATGGGGACAGGCTGAGACTGGTTTGCTCCCTTACCCTAATCCCTACTTTTTTCCATTTGAACAGTGATGCATGAACTCCGCCCTTGCATGGCTTGCCATAACTACCACCTATACTATTATTTACAAGATTTTTAACATAAGTCAGTTCATTTTTTTAGCTTGAGGCAATTTTGAAAGCAAACATCATTACCTTAAATAGAAGTCAAGTATGGATGACCATATACAAATGATAATCATAAAAATAAACACAATAAAAACAAAACAGTGGTATCTGATTGGAGCTGGATACTGCTGCTTACTTGAGCCTCTGAGCCTGGTACAACTTCCTCTAGTTAAAAAGATGAGCCAGGGCCAGGGATTTAGCTCAGTGGTTCGGCCACCTACTTTGCAAGCATAAGGTCCTGAGTTTGATCCCCAATACCCAAAAAATAAAAAAGAGCCAGGTCTAAGAGAAGAGAAGTTCTGATGGCCAACCAGACTCAAGGTCTGGTTTTTGCCACTAACTCATCAGAAAGATGGGAATATTTTTTAAATGTTTTATTAGAATATATTACACCCAAAAAGTACACATATCAATTTTGCAAATTGATCTTAGAATTAAACTTGCACTCAGATCTACAGAGAGAACATTAATAGCAAGCCAAAACCCAGCCCCCTTGAAGTGTCTTCTGGTTATTATCTCTACTCTGCAAGGGTACACATTGCCTGCGCTTCCACTAACCTGGTTGAACTGTGCCTGTTTTTGCATTTTCCCTCAATGAAAACATACAATATACAGTCTTTTTGTCTCTTGTCTTTTTTTACTCAGCATAATGAATAAGAGGTCTATCCATACTCTTGAATGTAGCTCTAGAAGCCTATTCCTTAAAGGGTAGTGTCCCATGGTGTGACTATATCATAGTTTATTCATTCATTCTGTTGTTGGTGGACATGTGGATGGCTTCCCATTTCTTTTAGCATTACAGACACAGCTCCTACAAACTTCTCAGTCATTTGTTGAGCATGTACATACATTTCTGTTGGGTCTATACCTAGATGTGAAATTTCTAGACCATAGAGTATGTATATGTTCAACTCTAGAAGATAGGGCCAAAGAGTTTGTCGAATGAATGCATGAATTTATACTCCTGTCTACAGGATATGAAGGTTCCAGTTGCTCCCTATCATGTCACCAGTTGGCATTTTCAATGTTTTCTCAATTTACCTGTTCTGGTGGAGATGTATTTGTATCATCCGATTGTAGTTTCATTCTGATAACTAATGAAGTTGAGTATCTTTTTATGTGAAAGAATTAAAATAGAAATTTTAAAAGGGAATCACATACTGTGCTATGTAGTGTCATATCTGGCACATGCAATTATCTTGTATGTACAAGTTGCACATTTTTATCATGAGGAATTTTGTTTTAGTTTTAGTTGTCATTGCTTCAGAAAGAAAGGAAAAGGCTCCAGAAGATAAGAGCTAACCTTGAACAGGAGAAGAGTCTTCTAATCTCTACATATTCCCCTGGAATCAACTGCGGACCAGCTGTCTCCTCCTTGGTAAGCCCTGAAACAAATTGGACAGGGATGAGGACTTCTGGTTTTTCTGACTCAAGTCTTTGGTTGGAAGTTCCATCGTGGAAACCTGAGGAGAATCACCAGAGAAAAGATTAATAGTGAAAAATAGGGCCGGGGATTTAGCTCAGTGGTTTCAATGCCTGCCTTGAAAGCACAAAGACCTGAATTCAACCCCCAGTACCAAAAAAAGGAATGAAAAATGTACTAAGGCTAGGGCTAAATGGTTGGTGGGATTTTCTTTCTATTTTGAGACAGGGTCTCACTTGGCTCTTGGTGGGGTTCTCTAAACAATCCCCAAGTGATGACCATCCTCATCTTTGTCTCCTGAAAACCTTAACCAGTGCTTCTTCCAGATGCTACATTGGGCTTTTGAATGGATCTGCCCTCTAGGAGCTGCCAAATCAGGTTGGATGCCTCTAAAGTGACCAGATGGAAAAGATACAAAATAAAAGAGGAAGAATTAGAATGTAAGCCCTGGAGGTGGCACAGGGATTAGGAGAAAGGGATTTAGAGCCAGGCTGCAGGCTCTGAGC